GATCTGTCAAAATGCACTTTTCACTTCTGTGGTTTTTGTAAAACCAACAAAATCAATGAATTATTAATATGCAGAATGATATTCTCGCCATATAAATTGCTGTTGAACCTACTGGGTAGTCCAGGTAAGCCTTGTCTTCCTGGCTGTCCTGGTAGGCCTGGTGGTCCAGGAAATCCAGGTTTTCCTGGGATTGATTCACCTGTTCCAGGGAAACCAGGGTCACCTTGAAAACCTTGAGGTCCTGGTGCCCCACTTACTCCTGGCAGGCCAGGTAGACCTATAAAGAAAATAACGGTATATGGCTCATGCAGCTTCATAGTAATGATTACTACAAGATATAAAGGAGGAAATTACAAACCATTCAGAACTGTCCTGAAGAAGAGCTTCTATATAGCAAAGACTTAAATGTAAGTCTTTAGGTTTTCCAGGATTCCCAGAAAAAGAGGCTCCTACTTTAGACCTGCAAATGCTTCTTTTCCTCCTCCTCATAATCTCTTTTCCAGACATCCCAGTTATTCTAGTTCCTTATACACAGCAAAATCACACTCATCACATTCCTTTGTATCTTTTGAGACAGAGAATAGAATTTTTGAGCACACCACTCCAGATACAAGCATACCATGGATTTACAGTGCATGGTAGCATTCTGCTTTGTCTTCTGTTCCTTTACTGGTAATTCCTAATGTTCTGTTTGGATCATTTTGGTTCTTTTATTGGCCACTAAGTGCTGAACTACTACTTTTATTGAACTCTCTCTGTAGAGCTCAAATCTTTACTGTTGGCAACTTGCATCAAGCAAGAACAAAGAACAGTTTTCTTTTAGCTGATTTCTCCCCCACTGGTATAGAGTTCACATTTTATCCCCTACTTCTCTTACTTGTTCCATCATCTCCTGGTCTTCCTAGCAGGCCTGCAGGACCAGTTGGTCCAACTGACCCCATATCACCAGCAGGACCTGGAAATCCAGGATCTCCTTGTGGACCTACACAGAATTATAAAAACACGTGAATTGAATACCTGATGCAATTGACAGCTTAAATCTGAGTTAAACTGCAACCAAAATTATAATTTGTGAACTACTTCTTTTGTCCTTATGAAACATTTTTTAATGTGTAACAATTTAATTTTAAGGTGGGAGGATTTGGTTACTTTTCTATGGATTCCTGCTCATTTCATGGGCACAGTTTTAACTCTTCATCACTCCATAGCAGTATCTTTGTGCTATGTATTTCAGAATGCTGAGAGAAGTGTTTGCCCAAAATAAATACATGTAGCACTTAAAATGGATGTGCATCTCATGTTATGCACGTTTGGCAGTGCACACTGGGAGGTCATTTCAGGATCATCCTACTTGAAATTATCCAAATTTTAAAAAGTATATTTTCAAAATTGCTATAATGAATAAATTTTAAAATTGCAATTACATAAAGAAACCTGAATCAGATATAAAGGGCTTCATTGAATTAGAAAACCAAAATACTGGTAGTAGTTCTGTTCTCAAACAATTCTGCTAAAGGCCTCTCTGAAGAATGTATCCACTCACACACCATGCTTATGATTAACTTTAAATACTAATTGAGATGCTAAACATGGGGTTGTCTTTCACTGCATGGGCTAGAAACACACAGAAGCCAAGGGAAAGCAAATTTAATTGGTTTTTTGGATGAGGCCCCATTAGGAATTGGGGTTGTGTTGTAACTTCTGTGTTCAAAACCAGCATTTGCTGCACTAGAAATACAATTTATGGTAAGTTCTCTGTTAAAATGTTCTTACAATACAGGTTCCCAAGTGTGAGATGCTAAAGCAAATCCCTTCCAGGCAGCAGGCTTGACTGTTCCCCACTGCCTCCTGCTACGAAATAAGACCTTCCACGCACCTTTTCACCAATTAGCTGATAAACGTGGCAATAAAGGGAGCTGGGACATAAAAATCCAGCCTGAGGTTTAGGGAGGAAGGTAATAAGATTGACAAGTATTCTGTTGGGAGTACTAGTTCTAGCTTTTTCTTAAATATGCTTAGGTCCATTAACTAGGGATAGTCCTGCAGATCTAGTTGTGACTGTATGCATAAACTTCTTTCAAGCAAAATTTAATCTGAAACTTGTATGTTTAATGCAGTTCCAGTAAGATCAGTAAGACACAAACAAACACAGAATGTGGCCACTAGGAAGATAATGTTTTAGGATCCTGCCCCCTGAATATCCATAGTGATCACTTTCAAACACCTTAGCAAAATAGGTCCTACATACTTTATACAGCAGAAAGACTAGTTAAAACTAGCTGTAACCTTTTATAGGAAGCAGCGGAGTTCCAACAGCTCCAGGAGGACCTGGGGGGCCTTTTTCTCCTGGATCCCCCTGTAAGAGTCCAACAATAATTTTTACTGAGAGGCACAAATATGCGGTGTGCAAGCATGCAACTGAAAACTTCAGCAATGGTGGAATATGCAAGGATGCGACACATATCACCTGGGAAACTCAATGTTGACACTTTAAAGCATTTAAAAACAGACAAAAAAATTTAAAATAATCATTATCTTCCAGGATACCAGTGGCTAAACAGTAATAGCTACCGCACACATCTGTTTGACTCTTCAGAACTTGTAACTGCTGTATGTGATTTCATTCATTTATTGTAAAGACGAATCAATTACACTAAATCAGTACCCATTTAGTTGAGACACTTTGATTTAACAACTGATCCGTAATTATTTGCCTTAAAATTCTATACCAGAATTTGGAAATTACATCTTTGATAACAGATAAGTATTAATAAAAGAGGTTTCACAGTCTGACAGATATTATCGATGGTAAGAGATACTCAAAGCTCTTACAAGAAGTTTAAAACATCTGCATCGGGGAAACATAAAAGTACCTACTAACAGCAAGGAAAATCAGTTCTGCTTGGAGGATTTCTAAATTAGCTCGGATTTTGATACTTAGAATTGCAAGTGAAGTGGACTTTAGGGAAGTCTTTTATGTGGCAAATTGTATTAGACTTTTTGCTTTGTAGATTAGGAATCAACCCTGTTCTCTGCGGTAAATGGGAACTGAGAAAACAAGAATGTGAATGTGGGAACTGAGTAGTGAGGTTGCATTCCTGGGACTGGAGTTCAAGGCCTTTTAAGACACAGACAAGGAGAACTGGGACTGCAAAACTGGAAACCCATTCTTACACAAGTAAAAACAAGGAGTCCATGCCTCTTTCTGGGCTTTTTTTTTAATTGATATCTCTATGATAATTAAACAGCTGTCACTGGAGCTGTCACTGACTGCTGCCCTCTTGACCTTTTGTCTTTTGGCTGGCCTTTTTCCTTTGACTGTATCTTGCAGAATGAAATAACATTCTTGTGTAGTCTTTGGCTATTTTAAACAGGAATGTAATTTCGTCTTCCCTAATGACATAGAAGGGTCTTCTTTGTGGCAGGAAAATAAAAAATAAACCTGCTTTTTTCCTCCTCAGATAAACTTACAAAGTATTTTGACATTTAAAATAAATTTAATTATGATAAAAGTATCAAAGATTTGTACAATAGATGGATATGTCCCAGGTCTTCTATGACTTTCATGCTGATTTTAAAATGACATCAACCACAACACAAGAAAGAACTGAAGAGTGAGTGAGCCAAGGTCAAAAATTTCAGTTCTTGGTATCTCCTTAAGTGAGAAATGCCTCGCTGGATGGCAGCTTCGTTCTTGCTGTGTTTTCACTGTTGGTACACTCCTACACAGTGGCATATATATGCTTGGATTATTTTGTTGACTGATACTGTTTTCCCATAAAAATTTCAGGAGACTTGACTTCCCAACAGAAGATGCGAAAAATGTCCAACAGACACATATTTCTACTGTGTTCTGTGAGCTGGAGTTGTATTAATATGAAAGCTTATAATCACTTACCAGTTTTACTGATATCCCTATTAAGCATTAAACTGTGATTTTTTTGTATAAGTTTCTATAGCTTTATATAATGTCAATGGCCAATAACATTTTGCACTGCCTGTAAAGACCATTCATTATTTTAATGAGACTCAATCTATTAGTAGCAGACACAAATGGTCTCAACGTGATTTCAACAGGTCTCATACCCTCCCTTGTATTTTGTCTGAAGAAGGCATTCTGTGTTTTTTCATATTTATTACAGAATGGTTGAGATTAAAAGGGACCTCTGGAGGTAGTCTTGTCCAACCCTCCTACTCAAGAAGGACCTAGAGCTGGTTGCCCAGGACCATGTCCAGACAGCTTTAGAATATCTACAAGGATGGAAACCAGTGCTGAGTAGAGGGCAAGGATCACCTCCCTCAGCCTGCTGGAAGTATTTTTCCTAATGCAGCCCAGGAGACCATAAACTGCCTTCACAACAAGGGCATGTTGATGGCTTATGTTCAAGGTCCACAGAGTGTTGCCAATGTCCAGACTTAGGGATCAAAAGGTATGCCAACAATTCCTTGAAGTCCATTCTTTGCTTTAAGTAACAGTTAACATTTTTTAAAGATTAAATCTACTCTGAATGCAACTGGTTTTTTTCTGAGTCTCTCTTTCTGTTAAAGCTGAATGCATCTTAGATTCTCTCTGAACATGTTTATTTCAGAAGATCTATGTGAGGGCAGGCTATTCTCAGGAGGGTTTTTAATCATATTCTTGTTCCTCCAGTTTATGTGATTTTTAGCAGATCAAAAGCAACACCTGGAGAGGCCAGATGAACAGTTGATGCAGTCTAGATAATCTGCACTTTTCAGGAATAATCAGATTTATCCAATTATTTTCCAAACCAAACTACAGCATCTGTGCAATCATTGTCAAATTTGTGTATCTGTATGAGTTAACCTTATTTTTTTTTAAGTTGTGTCTATATTTGTTTTCTTTTGTTCCATGAGTTAGCAACTGTAATTTCATCTTTCCAAATCATTACTACAGGCATTCAAACTCTTCCCCAGCATAATCTACCAACAGTTAATTACCAATTAATTCATTTTTTGCTTACTGTTTTTAGTGTTAATTGATGGCTTCTCAGGCTGTGGGCTAATCAATGGAGACTGAAGAATGCACTGTTCTGTCTATACAATTTCTTGTCTCAAGTTTGTTAATGATGCCCCCAACTAAAACAATATGCACATCAGGGTGAGTACTTTTAAAAAGCAAAACACTTAAGGTTTCATACTTTGGGGGAGTAATGGACTGTAATTATTTTTCTGCTTAAATAAGACATGCAATGTTTCTGTCTAATTAGTATCTGAATGATCTCACATTGTTGTGAAGCTGATAATGGGCAAATGGGAGAAAAATTAACATCCATAGGCAATTATTTTGCCCCAAGTATAAATACATAAATGAAATCTTGGCTGAAAAAGATGATCTAGCACTCTTCTGTCAGTCCTATCTTTGAAACAAGTAAACCAGATGTTTTTATTTTACTTGTACTTATTTACTCCATGTGTTTGTCATTTCTCATTTGTGAACCTGCTTCTTGAAAGCCTGTTCGTTGCTTTTTATTTGTCTGCTTTCAACTGTATCTTTAGCAGTATGCTATTTATGGCAAGTTTGGACCAGCTACAGTTTATTTCCTTTTGTCATCACAGATTATGTAGAGCGTGTTCTAATCTTAACCTTCAATTTATAACAGAGGTGATTCTTCCTTAAATCTCGAGTGCCGTTCCTCTGATTTCACAGGTGCAACTAATTGTGCTTTAGGAAAAGTTACTATTCTATATGCAGCTTTCCAAAAAGATTATTTCAGGGGGAAATAAACACTCCTTGACTTTTGTATTTCAGAATATTTAGTGCCAAGTTCACCAGTGTCACAATTTCTGCAATATTATTTTTGTCCTCTGTATTGTGGTAATAACTTTGAGCTTTTTCAACCTTGCTGTTTCTACTGATGATCCTGTCCATCCACCTTTTTCGTTGCAGCATTTCACTTCTCTTGCTCATACACTGCTGACCACTTGGACCTTATCCCAGTGATTCCCTAGACCTTCCCCCTGGCTAGACTCACTGCTGCTTTGCTCCTTCTCAAGTAGCATCCAGAACTGGTTTTTCATTCTGAGTGTGCTTTAGCATTGTAGATTCCACAGAAAATATAACAGTTCCCTTCATTTAAGTTTTTGTTGTTAGTCAGAATTACAATACAATCCAATAGTCAGAATCACAATATGACCACCAGTTCTGCATCCTGCAGAAGAAAATTCCATAAATTTATATCCTGAAATGTCACTAGACTGGCACCTGGGCCTTCTAAAATTGTACTAAGCATCTCTTCCATGCTTTTCAGATGAATATTCTCCTCTTTTACTGCTTAGTTCACCAGATGTGACATCTACATTTCTAATCCCTAATGGAAAGCAGCATGCATTGTAAAATAAAAAATGTCTAGCATCACATAAGTGAGCAAAAGTATGAAATGTTTAAACAAAGCTGGTGTGAAGGAGTCCAATTTCCATTCTGGTAAGCATCTTGGAAAAGCTACTTACATGAACAGGTTGAATATATGCAAAGAGATTTTGGTAAGCCATGCAAACAAGCCCATCTGAATCAAATTTTGCCACCTCATTTGGTGCCAATTATCATAGTAGTTCATAGACCAAAGTTTATGGGATCATACTGTTACCTAAATAGCAGGTTCCTTTACCTAGCATACTTCTCTGTGGAATGCAGCTCAGTCATGAATAACTTGGAGTACTACAATTCATGGATTAGATAGCTATACTTAAAGGTAACTATTGGCAATTAGAATGAACCAATTCCTATGGTACGTAAAATGGAATTCCCACTCTCATATCCACCAAGCAGGAGCATTTACTTACATTGTTATTTACTACCACGGTGTTGAGTAACTATGACCGTAATGAAAACAGTAAATCTTAAAAACAATTATGACTGTATAAAAGGAAATGGTCTGGTAAGCAGGTACATTTGGCAGGAATAATTAGCATTTATATAGGGGAGTGTGTGTGTGTGCATGCACGCATGCATATGTGTGTGTTGGTTTTTTTACCTGTATGCCTGGATAGCCAGGTTGTCCAGGAAAACCAGCAAATCCTGTTTCCCCCTGGAAAGGATCACATAAATATAATTTGATTAATCTGTTAAGACATTAATACAATTAATTGAACAAAAACCAGTAAGGCAGTCATACAATACTGTCATGTTATAATAGCATCTGCAGTTTCTTTCAGAAAATTCACTGGTACAAGAGATGGTATGTTTCACAGAATGTCTTCTGTTAAAAACAACCCACAACATGTATCTCTAGGTTATTTAGACAGTGATCAGCAGATTCAGGGTAGCTGGGGCACAGAACTAGCTGGAATACATACCAACAGACTCCAATAGATCGTCAGCTTAATACAGCCGAAATTGGTTTCCTGCCTGCTGAATGACCCTTTTAAACTATTATTGCATGGAAAGCAGCTGCATATCAGCTCCTCCTCTCTTTTTCTGGTCTACTAATACACTCATCCATTCAGTATGCAAACTTTTTAGGTAGGCAGTGGTAAAAAACAAAGTAAGAAAAAAAGTAATTTTGCAGATAAAACAGTCACCTGGAACATAACTCCAGATGCAAATATCTGTACATTAATGTGATTTATGAATAGCATGATCATTACCTTACATAGATTTGAAAATGAGCTAGGTAGAGTAGATAGGAAAAAGGGCAAGATGTAGATCTGTATACCTACATCTGTTGCTCTTTACTCCAGTCAGATGTTACAAGTTTATAACTAACATTTAGCAGACTTAACAGCAAAACTGGGATTTCTTGAACCAGAAAGATGAACAAAACATGCATATAACACAAAATTACGGAAACAATGTCACCATGGCAAACAAAGTTAACATGCTGTGTAACTTTTGTGTCATGCTATATGCACATCCCACTGGCTTTTTCTCCTGCCTGCAACTTCAGATGCTGTTAGCCAATTTCAGCCAAATCTTATTGTGGCAGAAATTCAAAGACAAAGAGTTCATACAACTTCTGTGGCAACAGGTAGCACGAGAGAAAGGAAGGAATGCAATGTGAGCTATCAAGTATGTTGAAATTCCAAATCTGCAAATCCACAGAAACCCAAATCTCACTGATACCACTGTTCAGGGAGCTGCTTATATTTATGTCATCTTACCTTTATTCCAGGAAAACCTGCAGGTCCGTAAGAACCAGGATTACCCTGATAAAAGCAAGTAGAATGTGAGCTAAAACAGTAAAAACTTATTCAAAATTATACCTATTCAGAATTGCTGAGCAGTTAATATTCCTTAGATAATTATTACTTAGGATATTTCCAAAAAACTTTGCAAAGTTTTTGCAAATACTTTATATGAGAGATGGACATGAATTTGAACTATAGACCAAAGTGAAACACTTAATTTTTTATCATATTGAACCAAGCACAGCAGAGGACATGTTGTTCCATTTGACCACTGTTATGCAAATCAAGCACAAGCTGCTGTAAAAAATTGCCATTGGCATGTCTGGAATACATTAAAATTACTGTGTTATTACAGAACTACTCCAGAGAAGCTTTGTGCAGCTCTAAATATTTAGAGGATAACCCTATGGATTTACTTTCTTTCCAAGGACAGAAAATCTGTATGAGGTTATGTTTAAGTCTGAGACAGGATGAGTCCCAGGGCAGGACTCCTAAATATTCTATACAGAAAGTATGACAGATTAGTTTAAAAAATCCTTAAAATCTTCGTTGGAAATGCAAACTTAAACTGCCAAATATATTATGAACCCAATTATAGTGAATTTGTAGAGTAATTTATTCTGTAACTTCCTTACCTTTTTCACCCTTTTCTCCTCTCCCAAGTATACCCTGAAGAATTCAAAATACTTTGTTTAAACAAGGTGCTCAGTGAAATTTGCCATAAATTTTATTTCTTGTGCATGTTTATTAAGTTATGTATATATTAGGTTAATGGATCTTGTTTCACTTGCTAGGCTCAACCACTGGGGCTTACTTCATACAGCACCACTAGCAGTGCCTACATAGCTTCAGTTATTCAAGTAACCTGCTATGGTCTCTTCTCCAAGCTTAATGTGCTTTCATAAATTTAATTTTTTTTTTTCTTTTTAAAGCTCTGGGCATCATCTGCATCAGTCAATTTCTCAGTTCTTGCTTATAACTAAGAAGTGTAGTATTACATGGACAGCTAGTACTGGAGCAAGCATATGAAGCCCGTCTTTTTTCAAAGTAAATCAGTTATAAAAAGATCGATTTTGTCTCCTCTTCCAGTGCTAAGTAACAGTGGTTCTTTTATGATAGAAAATTAATTTCTGAAAAAGTGCCAGACTTAGAAATGTGATGTTCGGGCTTCTTGTTTCTTCTCTTCTGCCTACAAAGCTAAGTAAGTTTTTAACATAAACTAGACTTATTCTTTTGTCCTCAGTTATCTTCTGTTTTTCTGAGATCTGGTAGTTTCCTGCCTGTGGATTTTCCCCCTCCAAATCTATCAGCAATAAAGACTACAGAATCTTTTTTGTGTCTGCTTCTACTCAGCATCCAGGAACTCCTTCCTGGCACACCAATGTTTAAATTAATCATGCTGACAGAAAGAAAAGAAAATGTAGAATAGAGAGCAAAGAGCAACTCTTTCTCCAAACAGGTGTGTCTGCCTTCTCTACTCTTGAGGATACCCATAATGTGAAGTTAAAGTCTTTTCCTAACATACTTAGGGAAGCATACATCATGCCCCATTAAGAACACATACAGGTCTTCTCTATTTCTCTCCTTGAGGAAAAAATAATCTGTGCTTCTATTTTTCACAGTCTCAGTCCGTTATGTGTCAATAACCCAACAGGAAACAACACTGACCTTTCGCTACCAGGCAGCATTCAATAGGTATGTATAAAACAGAATCAGAAAGGTTTTTCCCAAGGGTTTTTAGGTATTTTTGCTTTCACGCTGATTTAGGTGGTGATTCAATTTCACAGTACAAATGCTGTTATTGCTTCCATCACCTTGTGCTTTAAAACATTAACTTAATAACCACAGAAGGACTTTGCCAGCACCATGAAAAAAAAAAAAAATCATCGCATTACTTACTTTGGGTCCACGTGGCCCTCTGTATCCTGTTACCCCAGGTAGTCCTTTTTGGCCCTATGTATACAAGGAAAGTTTTTGTGTATATTAATATGCAGAACATGCCTATATGCTGTTTAACTTTTTTTTAAGTCCTGTTCTGAATTACAACTGTTAAATAGCATTTTCTTAAGCACTGGGCCTGTTCTAGGTGTACTGGGCAGAAGAAAAACAGTTATGTACTGATTTTTATTTCTGTCAACACTGTCAAACCAGCATAATGACTGCAGAGTGAGATAGATGTACCTTTTCAGTTTCAGGGAACTGCTAACTAGGGTTTTGTTCCTACAAACCTGCATGACAGTAGTTCTTTTTGGTTTGCTGCCCTATTTAGTTTGATGCAAGTATTCACATGAATAAATCTACACTTCTGTACATAGCCCCAATCTGAATGGGATGCACAGCTGGCTACATGGTCATGATCATGTCATGTGTTGCACAGCAGCATATGTCATGCTTCACAGTAACACGGGGAGTTTATCTAAGTTCTTTTGGTCCTTTCCCTCTTCCTTGTACACCTGTACATAGCAACCATTTGCATAATCAAAGCCTAAGATCCAATATGTGAAATCTATTGGCTCCCTGAGTTGAGGCTGCAGGGGCTGGCAAAGCCAAATTCACTTTTTCATTTGTGTATTCAAGCAAATCAGACTTGAGGACATGGAGACTCCAATATAGGGCTCCGTAATGCCATTTTTGTAACTCCTGTTATTTTTAAACATTCTAATGTTTTAAGGTACACAACTGTGGCTACAGTAGGTATGATATTGAAGAAGTAGAGTAAATAACAGGAACTTGCATTAAAATAGACAACAAAATCACACTTAACTTTCTTATTAAAAGAGCTGCCTAGAAACTTTAGGGTTGATAGTTTAAAACATTACATTGGAGAAATCTCAAAGAGAAAGATCTGAAAAATAAGTGTTAGAGAAGAGCCTCAAAAGAGATTCAATGACAGAGGAACCAACTTTACCTGAGATGCCTGAAATATGATTTGCTAATGACAAAAAGTAGAGAAAACCAAAGCAAGGGCAGTCTCCTTTCTGCATCAAGACAGTCTTTCCTCAAGGACATGAGCTAAAGTACACGAGCTCTCCTCTCCTGAAAGCCTGTAGGAAGGGTGCTGAACAACAGGATTTCTGCTGAAACTGATGGTTTATTACAGAAAGAAAGATTTGTCCTATGCCATCATTGCAAACATTACATCACAGGATTGTACTTGCCAAGTTGAGCACAGTTAACTATGAAGACAAATTAACACCTTTTCTCCTTTGAACAGCTGAGCTCCAGGAGGTCCAACTAACAGTGGTGACCCAGGTGGCCCAGGAAGTCCAATGTCGCCCTGTGGAAGCCAAAGGAACAGCAGAGAGGCATTCTGTTCCATGCAGCATTTCGGTGAGACTCAGCATGTTTTCCTGTTGTACTACAGCACTACATATTTCTGTAGTCACTGAACATGTACTAATACCTGTAGATAAATAAAGGTTTGCACTGAGATCTGTAAGCCTCTCTACTGCCTTCCCAGATGAGCAAGGCTGGCGATCTTAATACCCTCCTATTCTCCTCCAACATTAAAAATAATGTTATAGCTAAGGAAATAAATGAGAAGTCTGTACTCATGGCTCCTGCTCTGAGTCTACAGTAGAGATAGTTACAGAATTGTCAAATCTCTTGTGTGTACATACAGTCTCTTGTGTTCCAGACAGAAGCCTTTGATCCACAAGGATTTATGAAGGTAAAGATGAAATTATTGATTTGCTACGGAAAGTTGTGCATGTTAGAAACTTGCACGAATTCTAAGAAGTGACTAGACAAATTCATAGAAGAAAAATAAAATATTCCACATTGGTTCTGTATGTCCTGAGTCCTCCAGAATATGCTTGATTCCTGTATGCAGCTCAGTGAAGGACTCGCTTCTGCACAGTATTAATTGATTCAATAACATATTACTTCTCCTTCCATTCTAACATGATTAGTGGGAGGACACAGCCAGAAATGAAGGGGTTCCAAGACTCTATACTTCTAACTCTACAGCAATAATATATTTGATAATATTTTTTTTATTTAATAATATTTGTTTTCTTACCGGCTCCCCCTTTTGTCCGTCCACTCCAATACCTGGATTTCCCTAATTGACAAAATATGTACACAGTTTGAAGATAATCAGAAAATGCTGACATTAGGATTTAATCAAGTAACTCCTTTGAAAAACTTGGTAACAAATAACCATAAGTGACATTTCAAATATTTGTAAAAATTACTCTATTATTTCACTAACAACTTCAGGAAAAGTCATTGCCTACCTGTTCGCCTGGCAAACCAGGGTAACCTGGAATACCCTTTAAAAGACAATGAAGACAAGTTAATGTCTGATTTAGTGACAGCTTTGCTTTGAAAATTACCTCCTCTTGCCAGTAGCACCTAGAGGCAGAATTTCCTCTTGGAATGTACCTATCCTAAAGTGCAATTTACTTCACCTGGTCACTGCTTTCAGGAGGGCTGAACCCTGGTTTCCCACTTTCCTGTATCCCACAAGGTGGCCTTGGGGAAAGTGAATGAGGAGAGAGCACTAGCAGCATTCTGCATGACTGCAGACTGCCAGGATGAAACGTGTTTGCACAGGCAAGAGAAGGAACAACATATGCTCCAATTCCTGAACTTCCAAAATCATAAGGTAAGGCAAAAATATCTCTTTTTATCATCTACCTCAAAAATTAATTCTAGGCTTTGATTCACATTAAGGCAAGTTGTACAATTAGTAGACCAGAACTTATGCATATCCTGAAAATGCAAGGCTATATAACTGCAGTGATCTTACAGGCACGCCTGGTGGGCCTGGATATCCAGATGGGCCCGTTGTACCTCTTGACCCTCTAGGTCCCTGAAAAAAATAGCAAAAAGTCTGTTCGTGAAAATACCAAGAGCTTACCCTTTTCTCCACGTCCGTCCAAAATGCCTGCATCACTTGGACTCAGCCTACTGGCCTCTGTATTCCACCCATGGCCTGAAGCTTATACCATGCCTGAAACCTCACTGCCACCAGAGCAGCTCAGCACAAGTTTCTGGATAATACTGTACAGACACTTGACAATGCACAATTACATGTTATTAATGGCCTGAAAGAATACTTTGTCAGTAATTGTGCTACAGTGTGGCGACATGATACAGTTCATCAGTGAATACTTTTTTGAAGGGCATAAGAAGAGGAATCCAAAGCCATTAAGAGTGTGAGACAGCAACAAAATTAAACTCTCGTTTCTTCTCATGTGTTTTTATGGCCAGAATATGGTAGCGTGCTACATGTTCTTGGGATATCCACCAGACACTGTTGAAGAAGGTGCCACGTCTCTATGGATCTTGAATTTCACAGAGAAAATTCTGCAAACCGTGAGTGCCAGGGCGAGAACTGCTCAATGCACAGCTAATGCAGACAGGTGTGGTCTGTTTCTGCTCCATTTCAGCCAGTGTGAACTGGTCATGGGGGCAGACTATAGGGGCTTGATGTTTGTTAGATTTAATTCCAGAAATTTTCTATTTAAGGCAGGCAGGGAGAAACCCCAATATTTCTTTAGTGTACTAAGAAGGAAAGCATGTATCGAACCCACTGACTGTACTTACAGGCATGCCAGGGGGTCCAGGATCACCTCTGTCTCCCTGTAATTTAGCAAATAGAATCATTACAAGCTTTGTTGTGGATATTTTCTAACTTTATAGCTATTAAGATCACAAGCTATCTGTTCTAGTTGTATATTTATTTTTAATCTTTTCTTGCACCAAGCTTTATTAAACAGGGAGGAGTTAAGAGAACAATTACATTTGCCATACATGCTTTCCTACAAGATATGTTTGGATTTTTTTCACAGTTGGATACTTACTGGGGGTCCTTTTCCAAAATGTGAAACATACACTGAATTTCCTTTTTCTCCTTTTTGCCCTGGACTTCCCTTTAAAGAAAAAAAAAAGTATTTTAAAACATGATCCACTTACTGATATCCTACATTTCTATGGAGATTGAATAACGATTCCTCAGGCTGTGCTTTACTGGTGCCCATACATCGTTAGGTAATCCACCAGAACCACTATCACTGCATGAGCATTTTGCAGTTCTTTTATCTAACAAGACCCTTAATAGTAAAATTGTCTTCTGTACAGCTGAGCAAAACAGCTCCTCACAGCTTCTAGACACCTGTGCTGTTAGATGCTCCTTAGCTCTTGGGCACTATGATATTCTACAGTCTTCACAAATCTTGCCTTTACTATCAAGTATATCCATACGCCTACCTTTTCTTTCAGTGAGTCAGTTGCTTTAAGTATTAGCACTCTGCCTTCTCCAAAAGTTCATGCTGTGATATAGAAGAATCTAGTGTGATTCTCCGTACAGTTTAAAAGCTGAAAGAATGTACTGTGCTACATGCATAATCTTCAACATTTCCACCTATTAGGAAATACGTTTCACAGTCCATTAAAAAAAAAAAAATCTGATGCCTAAAGGCCCTGTTTTTTAAAAAACTAAGTTCCCATGGTATTTGCTGTGGAGTCCTTTATAAAACTATGTTAAGAGCATGATATCTACATATCTGAAGAACAGACAGATTAAGACATTATTTCTGAAGTTTTCTCATTTGAAATCCAAATGTACTTAATTTAACTGTTAACCACTTAACTATTGATTTCAATAAAATGGGATACTGTTTTTCATAGAATTCAACCACTTTAAAACTGTACTGTTTTCCTGATATTATACACTAGCTAAAGTTAGAATGAAACAGGGAAACTACTTATCCCTGGAATGGTACAATAAAAAGAAGAGTTTCAGCTGTCTCCAGCTGGATATAGCTACAGCAGACTGGATACAGATTACAGGTCAAACAACAGCTGCTAGGGAATACAACACATCAAAAGTTATATTTGTCTTTGGTTATTTTACATATGATCTCTTGTGTAATAAAACATCTTTATTAGATTCAGTTTGTTACCTTCTATGTGACTTAGATAAGGGCTTAAAAACAGAAACTACTTTCTTTTCCAATTTATTGGTGAGGTAAATGTACAGACTCTACAAGGTAACAGAAGTAAAGCTGATGAATATGTACAATAGCATTAAATAATTATACAGGACAATATTATAAATAATAATTCAAAAACGTTGGCTGTAATATATAGTCAAGTTGGTACCTGGTGCAACAAAATGATTTAAAAGTAGGCAATCTGCACAGAGAGGCTGGAATAGCATTCTTGTACACAAGAAAATATGGTTACTATGTCTTGTTTTTCTGGGTAGCTAAATTAATTTGCACTGGAATTTTAGTGACATGCCTATTGTGTCTCCCATTCTTTGTAGGTTGCAATACTTTTCTAGGCCTGCCAAAGAGCATGCTCTGGAACTAAGAAAATTTGTGCTGTAATTTGTCCCACGTCTCATTTTTCCTTTATGTCATTTGGCTAATTATAAAAGGTAAAACTATTCTGAAAGCCATAATAAGTAAGAAAATACAGGTAAAATTAGAGTTTGAGCAGAAGTCATATTACCATTTGGACGGTTAAAAGGTTACTTTGAGAGGTATAAAAACTGAGGTTATTATCAAGGTATTTATCAGGTTATGTATTTCAAAGCATTTATTACAGGTCCAAGACTAAAACTGTATGGGTTTTTTAATTGATATAATTTTTATAAAATCTTTTCACTTTGGCACCTATTGCACATTTCTTTCATTCCCTATGGCTGAATCAGCATCTTATTTAGCTCCTACTAAACACACTTGACTTTTCATGTAAATTACAGTTGTTTTTATTGTTTTATTTAGGAAAATTTCAGGGAAGCTCTCAGACCAACTAATCAGCTGTTAGTCATTCAGAACTGAAGCTTGTTTCCATGAAAAGTGAAAGACTGAGGACTAGACCTGAAAGAAGAGATTTCAAGTACTGATAAATGGTATGATGGTTTCAAGCTACTCCTTCTCAGTTGTACATCCATGAAATGGTATTCGCTTTGGTGTGGTTATGTATCGGAGAACAAAGCAGAATTTAACTCTCAGGGTAGACATATCTACTTCAAGGATATAGGAACTTATTTCACATTCAAGCTTAAACTTAATCTGTTAAGGCACCAAGTGTCCTTCGCTCCTATTAACCTTAGTAAGAATGGCTGGAAATTCATTGTGCAGTATAAAGCTAGCGCCGTAGTCTAAAACTCCTTTCATTTTAAGAGCTGTTAGCTTGGAGGGGAAGTGTACATATACAGTATTCATAGAAAGCAGGAATTCCTATCACGTACATAAGGACCTCTTGGTCCAATATAACCATTTTCGCCTGGAAATCCTGGATCTCCTCTTGAGCCATTGCAGCCATCTAAACCACGGTTGCCCCTGGGTCCTTCACTTCCTGGTAATCCCTGAAAGATAGTTTAATATTTATTAGAGATAAACCATGATAAACGGGGAATTACTTTTTAAATTAACAGAACAGTATTTTGCAAAACATGTAATTCTGTAGGTGACATGATATCAAGATGTACAAAGCCAAACAATTTATTGAGTGTATTATCCTTTTAGAGAACTTGTTATGACTTTATAGAAACTGTAATTTTTATAAAGCAATATTAATTTAATACGTACAGGAACACCATCTAAACCAGGAAATCCTGGGACTCCAGTTGGGCCCTAAAAACAGGTGACATGAAAAAACAAAGTCGCTGATGTCATTAACTCTTAAAAAGAATGAAAACTGAGGATATATGACACTATAAGGCAAGAAACAGTCTTGTTTTAAATATGAATCAAAAGCTGTAATTCTCAGGAATAAATATCTGAAAAAAGTTATATGGGCTTAGCAGGAGACTACTGCCAATAGCTATCCATGTAACAGATGGTACAGCACAGGACAAATGTCTAACTCTCATATTCATACATTCTCCAAAGATTATAAAATGACAGAGAAAGGGAAGTTGCCTATAACTTATAAAATAATCCTGTATGTAATTTCACAACCCTGCTCCTGTTTTGATAATACCAGCAGCACAATTTATATTTACACTGCTTACACTTCAGGTGTGCTAGATACTGACATTAGTGATTTCAGTCATCCACAGCAATCAGTGGAATTAGACCATTAAAACTAATATAAAGTATCAAGAGCCAAGCACAGGGATTGTACAACTGTGAAAGATATAGACCTCAACTGCAATTTATACTCCATAAGTGGTAATAAAATTCTGTTTAGTGTTCAGCACTTTTAAAAGCACTGTGCTCCTCCCTCCAGCTCCACACTCCTCCCACAGCCCTCTTTGCGGTTAAGGAGGATGAGATGGTATATAACAGAGACTGGGTCTGTTTCATTTCATTTTATGTCTTCTGACAATTCTAATTTTGCAATCCACAGCAAAAATCCCCTGAAACATTTTTTCAAGAAACCTGCAATGCATTTCAGGGAGAATTTTGTGTGAGCAAGAGTATAGTTTGGCAAGTGCTTTTTGATCATTCAGGTTCTGTTTCACTTGCCAATATTTAACATTACATTCTACATATACCTAAAAGAGCTGTCCGTGGTGTTTCCTACCTTAGCACCTTTTTCTCCAGCTGGCCCAGGCTGCCCATTCTCACCTCTCTGTCCTTTTTCCCCTGGAAGACCAGCTGGTCCTGTAGATCCCAAGGA